GCCTGACCCCCTGTACCTACCTGCCCGTTAGTTGCTGTACCCGGCTCGTGACCTGACTACTCTCTGCTTGCTCCTCCTGTTCCTACCTGCCCGATTGTTATTGACCCGGCCTGCCTGACGACGCTTGTATTGTATGTATTGTTATCTGTGGGTGGTTTGGTTTGGTTCGTTTGCACTGTGTTATGTTTTAGTATTGCACTGCGTTTATGTATTGTTAGCGTTAATAAATTATATTGTTTATAACATATCTGAAGCCTGCGTTTCCCTGCGTCAGTTCACATACCTCTGGTCATACCCGGAGCCCTGACACCTACTATTACCCTGAACATGCAGAGGTATATTGCATATGACACTGGTGACAGCCTTGGATGTATGTTCAATACTCCAGTGGTTCCTATACAGCTTGGCTAGGTGGTACAAGCTCAAGCAGAATGTTTGCCTTTGACATATATGTGGGTGGTCTCACAAAAATCAACCAGAATATTCATATTGAAGCCAAGAAAACCTGGTTTTACTCCTATTGGAACAAATATACCATGTCTAATTTTTCGTGTGGTTTTTTCGTAGGTCTGTTGGCTGCATTCTTCATGAAATATGCTGTTTGGAACATGCTTTCACTGGACACAGTTTTTTAGCTGTTGTTTTGAAAATTGTGGAAGGTCCAACACCATGTCTACCTGATCGTTACTCTGGTCAACTTAATTTTATAATGAGCAGGTAGTGCATTGCTTACACATCATATCATAATTATGTCTCTTTTTTAAGCAGATGTATTTATAGTACATACTGTTTTTTACTTTTCAGAATGCTGATCAAAGATCCATTACATCGTCCAGGAGCAGTAGAGATTTTACAGATTCCATATATATTTGACCAGCTACAGGTATGTAATAAATGAATACTGCTTTTTACAAAACATTTTTGATGTATAACAGGCTGTGAAATTGATACGTAGAAGCAGATTAAGCCCAGATTCACACCAATGTGGTGCGGGAGATGCTGTGAATCCTGTGCGTTTCCCGCACTGCATTTCAATCGCATCAGGTTCATGTCAATTATAAATTAATGAGACCCCGAAGCAGATTGCAAAACATGATGCGATTGCCAGAAATCGCATCGCATGGGTGTTCAGGTGAGATTCAGGTGCAGATTTAAAAAAGAGTCCTGCACCTTTTTGGTGCAGATGCAATGAGTATTGAGCCATACAAAATGTATGGCTCAAATCACACCGCACAGACATTTGCACGTAATTTGTACATTAACCTGGGCTCAATGTGGATTCACACATGTGCTGTGCACATTGAAGCTCACAGATAATTGACACAGTGGTTATTCAGCTGTTCAGTTCAGGTTTAGATCAGGTTCAGAACAGGTTTAGATCAGGTTCAGGTCAAGATTTTATCCTGTTCACAACTGATGACATGTGAGGTTTAGAATTGTTTCCCATAGAAGTCAATAGCCTGTAATCCGCACCTGATCTGGACCGCACTGCTGAAAAATTGGACAGGACTCTTTTTAAATTCACATTGAATCTACACTGCCAGTGCCCTGGACACATGTTTACAGGCACCAATGTTATTTCACATGTCATGCGAATTGGATGCGAATCAAACCGCATCCAATCCACTTATATGTGAATCGGCACTAAGACTCCATTCACAGTGGCTTAAAAAAACTCTGCTTTTAGAGGAGTTTAGCATTTTGCTTGTAAAAGCAACTAATGTTATCCTATGTGTCCATAGGCATTTTTTAAGCTCAGCGTTTAGAGGTAGAAAAAAACCTTCTATTTTGCATTTTTGAGAGCCTTTTTCTGGCAGGAAAAAATGCTAAATGCTTTTAAAAGCTAACACAAAAAAATGCTCAAAATTAGCATTTTTTTTCTACAAAGAACACTGGCATTTTATAAGCCAGTGGGCATGGAGAAAATGATTTTTGTCGAGTACATACCGAGCTTTAGGACTATAATGGTACTGAACAGGCTGAAATGCTACAATGTAGGCATATGAATATTTCCTGGAAACCTCTTAGTATTGTTGAGAATTGAATTGCCTTCTCTAGCCTCTTGTACAATGGGTATAGAAAAAAATGATCCTCGTTTAAATTAATCACATTTTGCTGCTTTGCAGCCTGAAATGAAGACAGACACAGCTGTATTTACTCAGTGCAGCTTATAATATCCAAGTGAAAGATATAACACCAACATGTCTGGAAAAAAATTCAAAAACATAATCACTGAGTTGGAAAAATGACTTGTAAACTCAGTCAGGTATAGCTAATCACCTTCTCAATGACACACAAAGCCATTTAACTTTCAGCTGTGACCAGCTGTGGTTGTTTTGATTAGATCACCATGAAAATAGATTTCCTGGAGCATTTCAGTACCTGGTAGTACAACTGAAGCAAACAAACAATCAACTATGGGTGGCAAGGCACTGTCCCAAGATCTCCGGGATAAAGTTGTGGACAGGCACAAGTCAGGAGATGGGTACAAAAATAAGAAGGCTTTATCAATGCCTAGAAGCACATTGAAATCTTTTATTAAGATGTGGAAGGTTTTTGGTGCAATACAGACCCTCCTTGGTTTAGGAGATTGCTCCAAACTGGATGAAAGAGCCAGGAGGAAACTGGTCAGGGAGGCCTACAGCAACTCTGAAAAAGTTGCAGGAATTTATGACAAAGAGTGGTCATTGTGTGTATGCGACAACAATATCACAAACTCTCCACAAATGTGGCTTGTATGGGAGGGTTGCAAGAAAAAAAGCCAATCCTCAAGAAAGGCCACATGCAGTCACAATTGAGCTTTGCCGAAACGCACCTTGAAGACTCTGAGACCACATGGAAAAAGGTGTTATGGTCAGATGAGACTAAAATTAAATTTTTTGGACTCAACACTAAATAATATGTTTGTCAGAAATGCAATACAACTCACCATCCAAATAACACCATTCCTACAGTAAAGCTTGGAGGCGGTAATATCCTGTTATGGGGGGGGGGGTTCTCTGCAGCTGGAGTGGACTAAATACCGTCAAATTCTTGAGGGAAAATCTGCTGCCCTCTGCCAGAAAGTTGTCAATGGGAAGAAAGTTTACCTTCCAACATGGCAATGACCCAAAGCACACAGCAAAAATTAAAACACAGTGGCCAAAGGAGAAAAAGGTCAAATGTCCTTGCATGGCCTAGTCACAACCCAACCTTAAAATGAAAATCTGTGGAATGACTTGAACACAGCAGTCCACAAATGGTCACCATCACATTTAACTAAACTTGAGCAGTTGTGGGCAAATATTGCTAAGTCTAGATGTGCAAAGTTAGTAGAGACAAATCCTTAAAGACTAAAGGCTGTAGTTAAAGCAAAAGGTGATTCAACAACATACTGACACAAGGGGAATATTCCTTTTTCCAATTTGGTGATTCTGTTTTTGAATTTTTTACATTTTTTTTCTGACATGTTGGTGTTATATCTTTCACTTGGATGTTCTAAGTGAAAACAAGTAAATACAGCTGGATAAAACAAAAACTGTGTCTATCTTCATTTCAGGTTGCAAAGCAACAAAATGTGATTATTTTCTATATCCACTGTACCTTCATATTGGATAAGTAAGGCCAACACATCATAACAGTGAACAACTAGGAAGGTGCAAGAGGTAGGATGGGGCACACCTGCTCTCAACACAAGCAGGAAATGTTGAAATTTAAATATAATAGCACTCTAAATTTCAGGAATCTTTAGAAGACTTCCAAAGGCATCTGAAGCTGCATCTATTGTGTTTTTTTTAATAACACATTTTTTCCCATATGGATGGATGTGTATGAAGGTTTTTCATTGTTATGTATGTCAATATAGGATTATGATATTATTCCTGTCAATATTGCTCCATGCATTTTAAACTCCTGTCAACCAAACACTTAGCGAAAGAGCACTTATTAAGCCACTGACTATACAATAGAAGAGGCTGCTACCTAGTCAAATTATGGTGCTTACAGTGTTTTCATATAAAACAAAAAATTGAATGATGTGTTAGGTACAAATTACTGAATACAAACCTTCAATACAGTAATTTGTTCCTATTGTATCTGTCTGGAGTTCACCTTAACCGCTAGCCTACAGGGCACTTATCAGTAGTGTTTTTAGGTTTTGTGCTGCCCTAGGCAACACAAAAATTGTCTGCCCCCACGGACACAGACCAACACCACCCCCACTTCCCCCTCCAGCAGAGAGAGCCTGACATTGCTGACATTGAACAACAACACCCCTGTCCCCCACCCGGGAGAGCCTTCCACTACCCCCCCGGTGATGGAGAAAAAAGACGCTCATCTTCACAGCTCCGGACATCCCTGGGAACGAGAGTCAGGCTCTACATACACCATCAAGCAGCCACAGCCTCACTCGGATCCCACCTGGTTCCCATGGCATGCATCCCCTTCTTTCATCCCTTGTTCTGGGGGAAGGTGCTGCCCCCCTGAAAACTGCCGCCCTAGGCAAGTGCCTTGTTTGCTTTGTGGTAAATACACCCCTGGCACTTATACCCCCTTCCTGCCCAGGTCAATTTCCAACTTTCAGCACTGTCGCACTTTGAATGACAATTGCGCAGTCATACAACACTGTATCCATATGAAATTTTTATCAGTTTTTTTGTGACAGATGGAGCTTTCTTTTGGTGGTATTTAATCACCTCTGGGTTTTTTATTTTTTTTTTAAACAAACCAAAAACCACAGAAAATTTTGAACAAAAAAATGTTTTTTCTTAGTTTTTATTATAAAAATTTGTAAATAAGTGATTTTTCTCCTTCACTGATGTGAGCTAATGAGGCTGCACTGATAGGCGGCACTGATAGGTGGCACTGATGGGCACTGATGAGGAGGCACTGGTAGGTGGCACTGATGGGCATTGACAGGCATCACTGTTGGGCACTAAAAAGCAGCATTGATACATGGCACTGGTATATGGCACTGATAGGCAGCACTGATAGGCGGCACTGACTGGCACGAGGCACTGGCTGGCACTGATAGGCGGCACTGACACGGCACTGATAGGTGGCACTGACTGTCACTGATAGGCGGCACTGGCTGGCACTGATAGGTGGCACTGACTGGCAGCACTGATAGGTGGCACTGATTGGCATTGATAGGTGGCACTGACTGACACTTGGGTGACACTGAAAGGCAGCTCAGATGGACACTGATATGTGGCATTGATGTGCACTGGTAGGCACTGATATGTGGCATTGATGTGGCACTGATGGGCACTGGCACAAGGCACTGATGAGCACTGACACAAGGCACTGATGGACACTGACAGGTGGCACTGCTGGGGCTACACTGATCATCAGGGCACACTGATCATCAGTGCCCTGATGATCAGTGTATATGTCCTCTCTGCAGAAAGCCGATTACCGGCTCTCCTCTCTAGCTGTCAGCGTGACAGCTCTAGAGGAGAGAAATGCCGATAACTGGCATTTCCCTGTTTACGTGTGATCAGCTGTGATTGGACACAGCTGATCACATGACCGAGCCGACATCTTTGGCTCTTTCCGTGATCGGTGATCCACTGTGTCCAAGGGACACAGCGCACCTCCGATCGCTACGCTGCGCGCTCCCTGAGCCGCGCATGCGTGGTGAGAATGGGAGGACGTCATATGACGTCCTCCCAGAATAAGAGAACCACCTTGTGCCCGTCATTGGACTATATGGCGGGCGGGAGGTGGTTAAAGAATACCATTTCTTGATAAAAATAAATGACATGGCTCTTGTGTAGGAAGGTGTTAGTCAGCCCTAAAAATATCAGAGATGTCCTTCAAAAAAATACTACTTTTTTGTATGCTGGGGCACAGACAACATGAAAATCTAATGATTACATTTCCTTTTCTAGTGAAAAGGATAAATAGACTTTTAAAGTAATTTATTTATCTGCTGCATGTAATATAATTTGTCATTAACTGCTGGTGTGTGCAGTTTGTATCGTGAGTGAGCATCATTTATCTGAAAGACTTTCTAAAAATCTGATTACCGTTAGTGTATTTGCTTAGCTTTGGAAGCAGCTTTTGTGTTTCGGATTAATTAAATACAATCCATGGAAATAACACCATGTTTGCTCTCTGTAATTACAAAATTCAGTTAAACAAACCAAACTCCATTGTGGATGTTTGTAAAGCTTGTTGATGTACAAGAAAATACACACTTTATCAGTAGATTCAGTTTACCTATATGTCAGTGTTTCCTTTCTAAACTGTCTGATGTCTGTTCATACCATTAACTGGTGAATTATAATTCAAGCTGAACAGGAACTAAATGCATTATTGAAGCACACATAATATTTATGAATAATGATTAAAAGTGTTTGTAGCTAACAAGTACCATTCATATCCTGAAAATCACGTTTTACTAGAAAATGAGAAGGGAGAATGGCAATGGTTACTGAGAGCAATAGGATTTTTTTTTCTTCTAAACACGTACTTTTACTTTGTAATTAATTTGTGTGTGCTTTATAAAATCACTAAATTTACTTTGTTCTTGTAATTATTGAGAAGCAAAGAATAGTTTCTCCAAAGTTTTTATTTATGAGAGGGCACCTAAAAAAAATACTCTGAGCTATATTTAAAGGGGTATTGTACCAAAAAATAAAAATGTAATATATCGTAGCTTACTTACCCTTTGATGTGGTGGCTGCATTCATTTTAATTTCTGAGGCTTTTTTTTCCCTTTATTTCACCTGGTGATCCGGTTAGTATCACACTTTCTGTCTTAGGGTGTCTACATTCTAGATGAAGCAGTAAAGCAGACATCTTTGGATAGCAGCATTGTCAGTCTGGGGAGAGGATACTTTAAAAGTAGCATATTTAGATGGATTAAACCAACAAATTAAACCTGAACTACAGCTAACACCTTTTACGCAGTTACAGTAAGAATTTTTTCTCTTTTTCGGGATAAACGTTTGACATAAATGAATAAAAGCTGGCCACTGTAAGCACCGTTGTCAGTTTTACATGGTTTGTCACAACCCTCTAACTGTTACTTTGTCTGGACAGCTTGGTCTGTAAAAGTAAGTTGAAAAACAGATTTACTTGCTGGATCTCCATATGATAGCAAAGGAAATATGCCTAAAAAGAAAACTAATGCAGCCATCACATCCAAGTATTGGTGAGCTTCAATTTAATACAGTTTTGTTTATGGGTTTATTACAACTTTAAAGCTTAGTTTTAAAGACCCACTGCAGCCAAAATATTGTTTTTTCATTTTACATTGTAGAAGGCTTAGAACCACAGTCAGGTTTCTATTGTCTTGTGTTTTCTGCCACCTTGCCACTGGAACAGGCGTGTGAGAACAGATCTGTCTAACAAAGAAACAAACAATAAAAGCACCTTTTTAGAGTGGGAAAGAGTTAGAATATTCAACCATAGGCCATGTGAAACTCATTTAGGAGAATTTCTTGTTACATTCTGTCCCAGTGACATCCTTATTGTCAGGGTTTGGCACCCTGTTAGAATGATAGGGGGAGTAAGGAATTCTTTATTTCTGTATCATCCATTGAGGGACACTGGAATTTTTGGACTATTGGGTTTTACTGCCACCTGGAAAACCAAAAAAAAAATCTGCATAGCTCAATATGCCCCTGTATAACCCAGCCTCCGACTGTCCTAGGGATTTTAACACCTTTTCTTCAGCTCTACTAATTATATTCCTTATTAACTGTTTTATTCTTATTTGTATAATTTTTTTAAAATCAAGTTTACAGACTTCAAAAATTCTGCTTGAGCTAGTCTCCACACAGCTGTTCAGATTGGTGTATTATCAGCACTAGCTTTGGAGCCCTTTATCGTAACCCACTGGACCAAACATTTGCAAGGTTGGCCTGGAATGGGATCTTTGGGCATTGGGCTCTGTTTAGTGGCCCTTTCCAGACCCTTGTTTTCTGTCTTAACTAGCCACAGAGCACTTTGCAGGTTCAGATCCAATGCATGGCCTCTGGTTTGGCCCAGTCTCTAAATACTCACACAGTGAACAGGTCATGGTGAGCTGTCCTGGAATGGTGGGCACTGTGACACTTTCCAGACCATTGTGTACTGTGTTAGTTAACTTCAAAGCACTTTCCAGTTCCAGAGCTGTGGCACAGCCTCTGGTGTTACAAAGTCTGTGAGGAGTCACTTAGTGAGTAAGGCTAGTCGGGCTGAAGCTCTGGTTCCTACTGTTATGTATTTTATAGATAAAGTCCAGGTTTCAGTTCTCTGAATTGACTCTCTACCAACTGTTAGCAGTGACAAAGATTTGTGAATCCATACCATTGTGGATCATATCTCTTAACGGAGATGTCTTCATCTTCAGAGCAAGCCTCATATCCAGAGGCTTTTAGGACACATTTTGAGAGCCCTTTATTTCAACTGTGATGGTCTCTATAAAGCATCTAAGCTTGTGTCTTGCATGGATGTAAAGTCTGTTCATATATGTAGGATGCTTTGGATTAGTGCCTGGCACACTGGGGATATGATTACATTGTAACTAAAGGCAATACTTTTCTTTTTCGTTTTGGATAGAGTGGAAAGAGATTAACACACCTGTCAGTTTGTTTGTTTTTTTTGCTGTCAGTGCTCCCCCTTAGGGAGATTCACCCTCTCTATTTGTCCTGTATACTGTTTTTATCAAAATTGAAAGGAAAAGCAAATCCCAAATTTTGGGTTGACACCAAAACTGGAATAGAGGGGAAATCTACCAATGGGGACACTATTTCTGGTGACTCTGGTGACACTCTCACTTTGAAGGGATTTTTCACTGCCTGTTTGGCTGTGGGACAGGAAGTAAATAGAAATCTCCTCTACAGGACACAGATGAAACCTGACAGGGATATAACCCTCTCTTACTTTATCGACACGAAAAAAAAAGTTTGGTCATTAGTTACACTTTAAGGAACATATGATTTACTCATGAGTGGGTGTCTATTCTGTCCTACCCTTGACAATGTAATTCCTGGTTCCTCTAGTACCTAAACTGTGTGCCAGCCTTAATGCATGAGATCTTGGGTTGGGACTGAGGGTTCCCATTTTCCTTCTACTACTACTACTACTAATAATAATAATAATAATACTACACTTGTACACCATACATGATCACCGTCTACCTCTGACTCCAGCTACAGATCTGGAGGCTCAATGTCCTGTGTCTTATCTGCTCAACCCTCTCCTTGAAGGTACACCCCCATTTTTTAAAGTGTGGGGGCTGTTTGTTGTTTCTGCTGGGTCCCTTGGTTGTTTAGCTATTTGGAGTTTAGATGCTTAGGCTTCCCCTTGTAGCTTTAGACCATTGAATCCAGGCTGCCCTTTCTGGTGTTATTGCATCCCATTTTGCATTTTCTCAGGTTTCTGTGGGTTTCCCACACTGTGAGATCTCTGATTCTTACCCATAGGAATGCTGTCTCATTCGATCTTTCATTCTTCTCCACAAGATAGTCCTTTTTCATCATAAGTTATTAATCCCCTTGCAGAGCTTGAACCTCAGTCCTAACCCTCTCTTGAGGGATCTGGTAGCCTGCATGGTTGACAGGGATTAATTCCTTCTGCTCCTTTATTAATGTAATGACTGATTCTTCAGTGTCCTCCATCTCTTCTCGACCCTACCCATGGCACTGACCATTATATCTGCCTCAGTGCTTTTTTTCCTGGCATCCTCATTGTTCAGCCAGGCAGCATGCCCTTGCCCTTTTTTTTTCTTAAAGACACAGTACACGCATTTTTGTAAATGTGTACTGCCCTTTAAGAATTAAAACCAACAACAACATGGGGTTCCCTTCAAGATGCATACAAGATATTTATCTAGGCATGTAGCCTGGCTGGTCAGAAAAGGGGGGGGGGGCAGCAAGTGTGCAACCCCCACTCCTGAGCTATATGAAATGAAATGTCCTCAACATTGTGAGGGTAACTTGCAAAGATTCCCATGTTGATGTGGGAAAAGGCCCTCATCCCTACATCTGGTGCTGAAAAAGTATGTAACAGTCTGCAGGGAGGGGGCTTATTAACTGCTTCCCACCTGCCCATACCCTATAGAAGCTGTGCTGATGTGGGCTAGCGTACCTGTACGTCAGCCCGCATCGGCGGCTCCTACGTGGCTCTCAGAGCCCCCACTCAGGAGCCCATGATTTGCATGGTGCTAGGACACAGCAGATCACATCACCACTGTGTCTGGGTGATCATATGGTGTTTTTACCATGTGATTGCTGTGTCCAATCACAGCAATCGCATAGTAAACAACAAAAGTGAGAGTAAAGATCGGTTCTCTCTGCTCTTACTGTGAGAGTAGAGTGAACCAATTCTGCAGTCTGTGAGTGTACAGCAGCCTGTCAGGCTGCATGTACACTCACAGAATGCAGTGCCAGCCAGTCAGCCCCAGTGTCCTTGATCACTACCCTAGTGTCCCTGATCACTGCCCCAGTGTAGGTGCTCAAATAACACCATACCAGCACTCTGATCACCATACCATATCACCACCATATGCCATACCAGCACCCTGATCATTGCCATACGTCATATCAGTGTCCTGATCACCACCATACACCTTACCAGCATTCTGATCACCATCATATCTCACACAAGCATTCTGATCATGCTATACGCCTTACCAGCATCCTGGTCACCAACATACCCCATACCAGCATTCTGATCACCCCATATGCCATACCAGCGTCCTGATCACTGCCACACGCCATACCAGTGTTCTGATCACCCCATATGCCATACCAGCATCCTGATCACCATCATACCCCATATCAGTGTTCTGGTCATCCCATATGCCATACCAGTGTCCTGATCACCGCTATTCCAGTGTCTTCATCACCGCCATACCCCATACCAGTGTCCTGATCACCACCATATCAGCATCCTGATCACTGCCATACCCCATTCCAATGTTCTGATCCCTGCCATACCCCATACCAGCGTCCTGATTACTGCCATATGTAAAACCAGTGTCCAACATTTTAGGGTCTCAACTGATCAATTTTCAAATATATATCCCATAGCTTGTTGACTCTATAACTTTCACACAGACTAAATAGTATACACTGTTTTGGGTTAGGAGTACCCCAAAAATGTTACAGAATACATTTTGGCCTACATTTATGAAGAAAGAGTATTTATTTGCAAAATTCTATAACAAAAACTCAGCAAAAAAAAGATATTTTTTTTAAATTTATGGTATTTTTTAATTTACCGTATTTTTCGCTCCATAAGACGCACCTGACCATAAGACGCACCTAGGTTTTAGAGGCAGAAAACAGGAAAAAAAAATTCTGAACTAATGGACTGCAGACATAGTACAGGGATGACCAGAGACTGCGGACAGCACAGGGATGACCAGAGACTGCGGACAGCACAGGGATGACCAGAGACTGCGGACAGCACAGGGATGACAGAGACTGCGGACAGCACAGGGATGACCAGAGACTGTGGACAGTACAGGAGATGACTGCTGACCTTTGGGGAGGTGGGGAGCGGGTACCTGAATTTGACAGGTACCCGCTCTTACTTCCTCGGAGTTGTTCTTTATCTTACTGTTCCTCGATCCAGCCGCGCGCTGTCTTCCCGTCTTCTGTAATGGCGCTCGACATGACAGCCGGGTGCCCAGTGCGCATGAGCGAGAAGCACTTGCGCTTTGTGATTGGTCCGGCGGCTTCTGGGATCGGTCATGTGTCCCAGGTACCGCCTTACCATTCACAAAAAGCACCGCTTCTTGCGCATGCGCACTTGGGACCCGGCTGTCATGCTCAGTGCCCACACTACAGAAGCCGGGAAGACAGCGTGCCGCTGGATAGAGGAACAGGTAAGATAAAGAACAAATAAGTAAGAGCGGGTACCTGTCCAATTCAGGTACCCGCTCCCCACCTCCCCAAAGGTCAGCAGTCCTCTCCATAAGGTCCCGCTGCAAGCTGAGCGGGCCGGCCCGGTATTCTGCACGGCGGCGGTGGAAATACCGGACCGGCCGCTCTATATTCGCTCCATAAGACGCACTGACATTTCCCCCCCTTTTTTGGGGGGAAAAAAGTGCGTCTTATGGAGCGAAAAATACGGTATATAGCAAAAAATAAAACACCTAGTGGTGATCAAATGACAACAAAAGAAAGCTCTATCTGTCTAAAAAAAAGATAACATTTTCATATGGGCACAGTGTTGTATGACTGAGTAATTGTCACTCAAAGTATGATAGTGCTGAAATCTGAAAATTGGCCTGGACTGGGAGGGGGTGAAAGTGTCTGGACTTGAAGTGGTTAAATTCTGAAAGCCCCCCTTCAGAATAAGGGGGTGCCCAGATTTCTGCCCTCCTCCATATTTGGTCACTGATGTAATGTAAACTGAGATCCCTGCTGGCTTGTTTAGAATATGAAATGGAAGCCAATGAGACTCTGTCATTCAGAGGTGATAGTGATACAGGAGGTACAGGTAAATTGTCCAAATCTGGCCTAGTTTATTTGCTTGTTCACTAAACTGCAAACAGGCTAGGTTCAGATCAAACAAATATTCAACCTGAACCTCATTCACATTGACCACCTTAGCTGTTGGTCAAATTTTTTTTCTTTTGTTCAGGTAGTTTGTTTTTCCACCTGGTTTCCTTATGTGCATGATTGGTGGTCCTGCAGGGAAAAGTTTCCTCTTCCTGGTGATTACATGTTCTGGTCTGGAGCACTGGGTTGATCCTCCATGCCCTTCCTCTGGGTGGTGGAAATTTTCATGATTGCTAGGCCATACTTCTAGACTTTGTTCACACGTTTATCCCCTCAGATACTCTTTGTAATATAATTTCCACATCTGTTGGATATCTCAGTGGTGCTTGCCCATGATTGAGTTGGACTACCTTTAGACATTGGAATTGTCTAAAAAAAAATTATAAATTCCTGTGTTCCTCCAGGATGATCAATAAAACAAAATTACAAAAATCTTATTTTCTTTAAGTCCATTGATGGACACGGGTCCTACCCACCTATCATTGGTCTTAGGTACTTCTTAGCTCAAAAAATGACAGTTGCAGGCAATCGGGTTATGCAGAGACTGGCTTCACAATTTTTGTTTGCCAGTGATCCAACCACCTGTTGGTGATATTATAACCCAATTGTCTAAGAATTATTAAATTCTCATGTTTTTCAATACTTCCAAAAATATTTTACAGTAAGTACAAAAATGTTATTATTTTTGGACACAGCATAGCATTAAAACTAGAGAAAGGCTGTAACCTTTGGCAGGAGATAAATGTTAAGGACTTTGATGGTGACTTGCAATTAATCAAGAATTTGTCATAAAGATGAGTGTGGTAGTTCTGCTTTGATGCATATTAATTTAAAGTGTTTCTAAAGGTTGTAATTATTAAAAACAAAAAGCATGGTATATTTACATGCTCTGCGCAATGGTTTTGCACGTAGCAGCCCCGATCCTCTTCTTTATGTGTCTCCCTTCGGTGGTTCTGGCACCTCCACCCTACCAAGTGCACCCAATTGCAAGCCTCTTGCTATAGGGGCACTTGAGCAGGCTTGCTACTGAGTTGTGCTCCTGTGACTGGACATTGTTCATTCACACAGAGAGTGGCTCAGCACCCCCCCCCCAATTCTTTCCTCATTGGATCACTGGCTCTGACTGACAGCAGCAGGATCCAGTGGCTCCTGCTGCGTGTTGGCCAATGAGGAGAGAGACACTTAGGAGAACTGCTGCTCTCATGCACAGTGCTAGATCGAGATGGGGCTAAGGTTAGTGTATGGGGGGCTGGGGGGGTGGCTGCACCGAGAAATTTTGTACCTTAAAAAAACTTCTGCCTTAAGAACCACTTTAAGTCATAATGTGTCAGAGATCCCTCTGTGCAGCCGTGCGATGGCACCGGATCCCCTCGGGCCGTGGCGGTGCGAGTGCGCATGCGTGGGAGCATGCGGGCGCGCATGCGCAGGAGCGTGCGAGTTCATGCATGCGCAGTAGCATACACGTCACCACAAGGCAGGCTATTTAAACCTGCAATACAGTGTAATCAATGCCTTCTGGTCTATAACGTTCTGCACTCCATACCTGATTCTGTTGCCTGTATCCTGATCTGACCTGACTAAGAAAGAACTCTGCCTGCACCGACCCCGGCTTATCCCTGACTATCCGCTTGCCTGCTCCCTTGTACTTGATTTGCTCGTCTGATCCTGACCCGGCTTGTCTGACTCTGCTGCACCTACTTACCTGTATCTGGACCTGGCTTGTATCCTGATTACTGCCATACTTATCTGCTGCTGCACCCACGATCCTACACCCGGCCTGCATCCTGGTCACCGCCATACCTGCCTGCTGCTGCATCCACGCTCCTGTGTCCGTTCCCAGTCTGCATCCTGATTGCCGCCATACCTGCCTGCTGCTGAACCTACGTTCCTGCATCCGCACCTGGCCTGCATCCGGATCTCCTGGGTCTTCACCTACCTGCCACTAGCTCCAGACCTACCCGGCACTCGTGCCACTCCTGGCTCTGCGCCCTCTGTTCCCACTATCAGGGGCTCCAAGCGGGAGGACACCTCCTCTCCACTTCAGGCTTCCCAACCAGGTATGTGACATAATGATTCAGGTGACACAAGTCCCCAAACTATTTCCTGGGCAAACTGAACAATGAAAAGGGAGAGAAGAGGGTTGAGAAATGAGTACCACTCTTTCCTGCACTCAGGTACACCCGTGCTTTGCCTTCCTTCAAACTACTAAATAGAAGGCAAGCCTGCTTTGGGGTAAAACCTCTTTCTTTATGACTTCACAGTAAACCAAAATCTCAGTTAAAGATTTTTTAAAAGTATATTTTGTTAATAACACCTATTCATTGTTAGCCATTCTATGCCGTATACCTCACGTTGGTGGATCATATTTATATAATGTTGCTATTTTTTTTAGAACGTAGAGTGGAAGCTTTATGGATCCATACTTGAAGATGACAAAACCATTATCTGTCAGAAAGAAGCTGACAAAATTAGAAATGCTGTGTAAGTAATAAAAATAAAAATAAGAGCCCCTTATTTTTTTTGTTTATCTGGTCACAGTTGGATATTTCTGTATATCAGATATTACCTTCATTAAGAAGTATTTGAAATTATACCATGTTGCTTTTGGCCCTCATTCCTAAAATCCAGACAATTTTTTCTCAGGGGACCATATGAGAAGCACAGTCTAAATTCTGCTCAGTATGGTAACATGTAGACTCACTTTTGTTGAGAAAATACATTTCCCTCTGAGTAATCTATGTACAGTGTAGGGATTTTAACAAACTTTGCTGCAGATTCCTACCTTTTGTTATTGTGAAGAAACAGCTGTCTGTGACCATGTGCAAAGTGAAGGAGGATGGGAGTGATTTTATAATTATCAATTATCAATCAGCCGTTGCACCTGCAGAGCTCTAATGAAGAAAATTGCAGGGTCTTTAGACATGATTTCCCTTTGTGTGTATCTCACCAAAAATGACATTTTTGTTGCAGGTGATCTCTTGTATCTTTGGCTGGCCATACAAAGTACAATTTCCTTTAGATTTATCTTCACCTGTGTAGCGCAAGGGCTTACTTGACTGCATACTAATTGAAAGTGTTTAGGCTTGACCTCATATTTTATGGTTTTGGTAAATCTAAAGGAAACGTGCACAAGAAAATTGTATAATGTATGGCCAGCCTTAGTACAGACTTCTTGGAAAATCGGTAATCCAATCACAAAAGTAGGAAATTACATTTCTGGTGGGCATTCTGTGCACAGAATGCCTTCAGGTTGCCATATTGCATTGCTTTTTATAGAAAATTACAGCACTACAGAATGAAATAGAAAGGTAATTTTTAATAACATCCAATTACAATATGATTTGTGTAGCAATTGTATACGCTATATTATTATTTTTTTATAATTTGATATTTTTTAAAGTTAACCTTTAAAGTAATATGCTCAGTTTTTATATATCAATATGCCTCTGTGATAACATCATAAAAGTAGGTTCCTGTTCAATGTACAGTTTTTCATATATCAACTATAAAATGGAAATAGTTTATTCAACATAAATGCAGACATACTGTAACTGTGGAATGACACGGCTACAATAAAATACAAGTAGCAAATTAACACAATCAAGGCCAAAGATAGAGACAATCCTGAGGTATAGCTACCACTGTCACCATGCCAACATAACCAATATTGCTGCTCAAGTATTTTCAACTCTCAGCCATTATTATTATTCATCATTATCATTTCTATGCATATAACTAACCAAGCAATTCCTTTAACAGTTCTTGTTGTCATTGAATACATCCCTGTGTTACAGTTGGATTGTACACAGCAATTTCTTGTTGTAAACAGCTGTATGTAAACGGCTCCTGTTCATAAATGGAAATGGCTTTTTGAGAAATTTGCTGTACCAAGATATAGGTATTTTTTTCCAAGGTTGTTATTTATTCAAACTTAAAGCCAAGAGGCCTGTTCATATGCTAGTGTAGCACTACCCTCATAAGGGCCGCTGGATTTGTTTTAGGACCCTGTAAGCTCTTCACAGCCAGGCAACATTAATTTTCCACATTTGTACACTGGAGTCAGTAAACAGTCCTCAAGCTTGGTTTTGTGAATTTATTGAGGGGTTTAACTTGGATAGGGTCTAGGGGTATATGGGGTATATGCCTGAGAAACTGTAAAACTTAGGGACAACTTATTAGCAACTATGTACAAAGATTTGGATTATCAACAGTCTCTTCTTCAAGAGCACCAAAGGCTCTTAGGTGTACCTCCTCAGGCCCCAGGTGACTCCTTCTCTTCACTCAGCTGCCTGAGGGTATCCCTGAGCAAGGGGGCACAAGAGCTGTCGATTGAACAGCCCCTGATGAGAAGCTAGTTGGGTGTTACACCTGACCACATTATCTGGCCCAGGAAGTGTAGGAGTACTCATACTGTCCTCTCCTGTTAGCTTGCTGGGTTGGTGTCTGCCTTCAGGCCTTATTCTGGGCTGGTTCCTTCCCTGCTAGGCAGGCTGTCCTCCCCAGGAGACATTGAGGCAGTGGAGATCTTCCTCTTCAGCAACCTGTCTTTAGGTAGGCTCCCCTCCCAGGCTCCTCACTCCAGCCTTCCTCAATCCATCTTTCACCTGACACTGCACACCTCTCCCAGGCTCTGCCATGCTTGAGAGTTGCCCTGGTCACCAAGCCCAGCCCCCTGCCAGGGGATTGTCCCTCAAACATGCAGATCTGGGCCTCCACCCCTCCCTCTCCTCTGCTCCAGAAAGCTCTCAGGTTTCTGGAAAGGTGGGAAGGCTCCAGAAACCCTGACCTGTTAGAGCCTCCCAGCCTGCCTGAAGTGATCTCACTACCTCACTCCCAGCCTGACTCATCCCCAGGCTGCTATTCAGCCTCTATCTAATAAAAACTACCTAACTAACCTGGAAGGTGTTACACTATATTGCTAAGATGCTTTGTAAAGCAAGCAACCAGCTGTCCTAATATTGTCTTACAGTTTTCCCCAAATAAATATATATACAGGTGAAACTCGAAAAATTAGAATATCGTGCAAAAGTTCATTTATTTCAGTAATGCAACTTAAAAGGTGAAACGACTATATGAGATAGACTTATTACATGCAAAGCAAGATAGTTCAAGCCGTGATGTGTCATAATTATGATGATTATGGCTTACAGCTCATGAAAACCCCAAATCCACAATCTTAGAAACTTAGAATATTACATGCAATCAATAAAACAAGGATTGTACATAGAACAATATCGGACCACTGAAAAATATAAGCATGCATATGTACTCAGTACTTGGTTTGGGCCCCTTTTGCAGCAATTACTGCCTCAATGCGGCGAGCCAGGGAAGCTATCAGCCTGTGGCACTGCTGAGGTGTTATGGAAGACCAGGATGCTTCAATAGCTGCCTTCAGCTCTTCTGCATTGTTCGGTCTCATGTCTCCCATCTTTCCCTTGGCAATGCCCCATAGATTCTCTATGGGGTTCAGGTCAGGCGAGTTTGCTGGACAATCAAGCACAGTAATCCCACGGTCATTGAACCAGGTTTTGGTGCTTTTGGCAGTGTGGGCAGGTGCCAAGTCCTGCTGGAAAATGAAGTCAGCATCCCCATAAAGCTCGTCTGCGGACGGAAGCATGAAGTGCTCCACAATCTCTTGGTAGATGGCTGCGTTGACCCTGGACTTAATGAAGCACAGTGGACCAACACCAGCAGATGACATGGCTCCCCAAATCAACACAGACTAGAAACTTCACACTGGACTTCAAGCATCTTGCAGTGTGTGCCTCTCCAGTCTTCCTCCATACTCTGGGTCCTTGGTTTCCAAATGAGATGCAAAAGTTGCTCTCATCAGCAAAGAGGACTTTGGACCACTGAGCAACAGACCAGGTCTGTTTTTCTTTAGCCCGGGTAAGACGCTTCTGACGTTGTTTGTTGTTCAGGAGCGGCTTGACAAGAGGAATACGACATTTGAAGCCCATGTCCAGGATCTGTCTGTGTGTGGTGGCTCTTGATGCACTGACTCCAGCATCACTCCACTCCTTGTGAAACTCCCCAACACTTTTGAATGGCCTTTTCCTGACAATCCTCTCCAGGCTGCGGTCATCCCTGCTGTTTGTGCACCTTTTTCTTCCACACTTTTCCCTTCCACATAACTTTCTATTAATGTGCTTTGATACAGCACTTTGGGAACATCCAACTTCTTTTGCAATTGCCTTTTGAGGCTTTCCCTCCTTATGGAGGGTGTCAATGATGGTTTTCTGCACAACTGTCAGTTCAGCAATCATTCCCATGATTGTGATTCCTACTCAACCAGACTGAGAGACCATTTAAAGTCTCAGGAACCCTTTGCAGGTGTTATGGCTTAATTAGCTGATTAGAGTGGGACACTTTGAGCCTAGAATATTGCACCTTTTCACAATATTCTAATTTTCTGAGATTGTGGATTTGGGGTTTTCATGAGCTGTAAGCCATAATCATCACAATTATGACAAATCACGGCTTGAACTATCTTGCTGTGCATGTAATGAGTCTATCTCATATATTAGTTTCACCTTTTAAGTTGCATTACTGAAATAAATGATCTTTTGCACGATATTCTAATTTTTCGAGTTTCACCTGTATATCTAAATATATATTACCTTACATAATCATTAGTGACAACATTTGTTATAGCAGAAATCTTACAGAGTCCAGCTGCAACTAGGTAAAGCTAGGAGTGCAAGTGTAGCGGTCTTGCTAGGAGATTTAATATGTAGCAGGTAAATCCACAAATTGATATCCACCCAGCAATGGAATATTAGCCTTTGCTATAAATTGCTTGTTTTGTAGGTCTTTTTTAACTGAAAACATCTCTGCATTATAACTATTATGTGTAATTACCCATAAGGATTGCATTCTAGACTCCTGCTG